GACGAATTGGGTGAGAGATGAGAGAGAAAGAGTTGATACGACTCTGAGGTTCTTGGCGGGAGCAGTCGGAGGAAGTTTGGTGGGGGGCGAGCAGGCAGAGAGCGTCAGGCTGCAGCTTTAAAGGGTGATGCCCATTTACAGGTGAGGAAAACGAGGCTCACACAAGAAAGGGGATGCTCTTGTTCAGCTGGACAACCAGGACCCAGGTCTCTCCGGCTCCAAAGCCTGCGCTCGTCCCACTGCCCTGTGCCCTGAGACCCCCTAGCCGCCCTGCCGGATCCCCCGTGTCCGGCAGTGGGGGCCGAGGAGAAAAGCCCTGCTCTGCCCTGGCTGACTTCCTTGTCTCCAGGGCCGGGCCAGGCTGAGGTGGTGGAGGAATGCCCACCAGGAAGTGACTAGTGCTGGGGTACAGCACGGAGGGACAGTGCCAATTGGCCTGAGGCGCCAGTAGCTCTGTGAGCATCACTGGCCCGGCCGGAGGTCGTTAGCAGACCAGCAGAGCCATTCGGTTAGCATCGATTGGCTTAAAGACGAGCATCTGGCAAGGCTGGGGGTGAGGGGAGCTCTGCCCTGCTCATGAGGAGGGCGCGTGGCAGAGCCAGAACTGACCACATGGCTATTGATCTCGGAGATGCAGGGAGCCCCACAGACCCGCCTGGGGCCCGTGGGGATGCCAGTCCATCGGGCTGTTCCTGTGCAGGTATATGGAGGGGAGGACCCTCTGGGGCCAAGTGTCAGACTCAGGGCAGGGTGAGGCCTGAGACCTTGGGGCCAGAAAGGGCTAACCAGCCCTCCGATGGGGCTGCCCTGCCCTCCCCACGCAACGAGGAGCGTCTGGATTGGGAGTCGTTTGGGTGAGGCTTGCCCCACTGCCTGGCTCGCCCACTGTGTGGCCTTAGCCAGCCACTTCCCCGTGTGCCATGTGTCCTCCTCCGTGAAAGGGCACGGCACCCGTGGGCTCTTGTGAGGATTCCCTGTAAAGAAACTGGTGGGGCAGGGGCTGGGTCTTCCTTGCGTAGCTCCCTTTGCTGCCAGGAGGGGGCCCCAGCCACACTGGCCGTCTAGCCTGGAGCTGGAGTAGGAGCCCTGTCCATGTGGGTCCCAGGAGTTGTCTGGCTTCCCCACCAAGTTGAGCTGGTGTTACAGCCTCTTCGGGAGCTCTGGCTACTTAGACACCGGCAGAGCGACCAGGGTAAGATGGGGGCCCGCCGCTTGCTTCCCTGTCTCAGTGCCTTTGCCTATCCCACCAGGTCCAGCCCCTGTGGGACTGTTCATAACCACTTCTTAGGAATGGGCTGCTGAGTGGACTGGGTGGGTGCCTGCCTGTGCTCAGGCCACTCACCTCTGCCCCAACAGGCCCCCATCCGGCAGGCGAGGGGGTCTGGGGTTTGCAGGAAGGAGGAAAACAGTGCCCCCTCTTCATTCCTGCACATCCTCCCTGCTGGCAGGCTTCATGGAGGAGGTGACACAGGGGCAGCAAGAGCTTTCCTGGAACTTCCCCAACTCCCCCTGCATACCTAGTGCCTATTTCAGACCCGGCACCTAGCCAGACTGCCTCACACTGTAAGACCCTCTGTCCGCTAGTCCCTTCCCTGCCCTGGCACACTGGATACTCCGAGACTCTGGCAGCAGGTGCTGAATGGAGGGAGGAGTGAATGAGGCTGCAGAGACACAGGTAAGCTCAGATGTGTGGGAGGCCAGGAGGCATGGGAGAAGCTGAGCAGAGCAGTCAGTTGGGGGCACGCTCCTGGAGGAGGAGGAGGAGGAGGGAGAGCCTGAGGAGGCCACAGAGTGGGAGAGACCCAGCCTCGCTTTCTTCAGCCCCCTCGGGCGGGCGGAGTGACCTCTGCCCTACCAGCAGAGAGCAGAGGAGGCCGATGGGAGGGGGAACACGCCTCCTCCATGGAGACTGGGATCCCTGCTAATTTGCAATCTTAAAATGCACAGCAAAGGCACCGGCCTCCTTGTTAGTACATTAATCAGCAATCAGTGGGCTGGGACTCCCCTGGGCCGCATGGAGGGGGCACAGAGGAGTCTCGGCAATGTAGTGCGAGCCTCCCGGGGAAGGAACCCAGCAGGGTGGCAGTCTAGGGCCACGGCACCCGCTGGCTCAGGCAGGGGCTGCTGGAGGCAGGTGAGGTTGGCTAGGAGGGCTGGTCCAGGGCCTTCAAGATGGGATCAGCTTCCAGAGTGGAGAAACAGACTCAAATGAGACCCACTCCATACGCAGGGGGAGGGGCAGCTTCCGTGGCATGGGTCCCCTGGCCTCTGGGCAGTAGGGGGCATGAAGAGCAGCTCCAAGCACTGGCTGAGCTCCCTGCCTCCTTTTGGACCCCTCTCAAGAGGACAGGCATGGTGGCTCCTGCCCTGGGTCCTGCCTTTACCCTACCCTCTGATCTCTGACCCCCTCCCCTTTTGGAATGGCTGCCAAAGTGTGTTTACGTGCCAGCTCCTAAGCTCGCACCCAGGTTTTTGGGCAATTGGCTTTGTCACCCAAACTGAGGTCTTCACTGGTTTCCCCTGTGCCCCAATATCCCCTGGAAGAGTCTGTCTGAGGAAGCGGTATTGCTCTCTGTGGTCCCCTCAGCTTCTCTGGGGGTCACTTCAGAGACCCCCATCCCAGAACCTTAAAAAGGCAGATCTACAGCAGCAGGCAGAAGGGCTGTCTGCCACTCCCCAACCCCCGCCAGGTTGCGGGGCAGGAAAACCCCTCACCCCCCACCCACAGGGTAATTCTGAGGATCAGAGGAGCTTGAGCAGAAGTGCTTTGTCAACTCCATAAGCTGCACAAATGTCAAGTGGCATTAGCGCTGAGCCTGCCCCAGCTCACCCCCGTCCCCGTGGTGAGGTGCTTAAGGGAAGGATATGACTTTGTCTTTGCAGGACCCTGGAGGCAGAGTGGTTGGTATGGCCCTGTGCGTCCCACAAGCACAGGTTCATGGCCAGGGCCCGGCCCCTTCAGCACGTGACATCACGAACGCCCTAGAGCTAGGAGGGGACCCTGGGCTTCCTCAGAGTGGCAGGGTGGGGCTGCCTCCCTGGGGCAGGATTCCTGGAAGACAGCAGCCTGGGCAAGAGTGAGGAGTGGAGCTGGACAAAGGAAAAGGGAATGTCAGGCTCTGGAAAGTGGCTTGGGCCCTCCTCCCAACCCCGGGTGTTGGAGGCCCAGGGCAGCAGGCAGGCTCTGCAGGAGCCCGCTGGGGTTCGAGGTCCAGGTTCCTATCCCCGCACACGCCGGCCTCTCCTTCTGGGGCTGGGGTCCCCCAGCCAGACCGAGGTGGGCAGTGGGCAGCTGGAGGTCAGATCCAAGCTTCCACGTGGGTGGCGCGTTAGGAAAGGAAGCAGGCCGAGGAGGCACGCCAGCCTTGGGCCTGGCCCGCGGGCGGCCGGCCAGCCAGTGGTCCTGCTGACTGTAGGCCCTGCAGGGGCTGCACAGACCATGGCCTGGCCCAGAAGGGGTCCCCACAGCTGCACTGCCTCCACCACCACTGCTAAGGTCATAATTGCTCTGAAATTGTAACTGAACCCAATTATGCAAAAACCAAATTATGTGCGATGATTTTTATGTGTTGGAAACGTTAGGTCGAAGCCGGGTGATTACAAGGGGACGGGAAACAGCTGCCACTCTCTGGGAGCCCATAACTCCCAACAGCTGGGAGCTGTCACTTATTTACGACACCATTTCTGCCAGAACTGAGGGGTGGCAGCGGTGCAGCGGCCTGCCTGAGCCTGGGCAGGCAGCTGGGGCAGAGGCAGGCCTGGGAGCCTGGCTGGGTGGCCAGCATGAGGGCGGGGGCCGGACAGAATAGCTGGGAGGGTTGGTTCTCTCGTTCTGCACACTCCGGGGACAGCTGGTGGCAGGAAGAATCGGCAGAGTTGCCCCAGGCCCCCAGCTCTCCTGAGAGATGGGCGGGCCAAGCTGGAAGGGACGGGCAGGAGGCCAACTCGGGCAGTGACGAGTCTGGAGCCTGTCCCCCCAACACCGGCGCGCCTGCCAGGCTGCCAGGGGCAGCTGCGACCCTGGAAAAAGGCAGGTAATGACTGTCGGCCATAATGAGGCTGCTCCGATAATGAGCATGAGGCTATTATCTGACCACAGGCTGGACACATCCGAAAATAAATTATTTTAAGGATCCATTAACGAATGCCTAATTAATGCCCAATTAGAGGGAAGCTACAGAGGAAACACTCCGGACAGTCTCGAGGCAAGGCCTGGTTTGCAACCACTGCCTGGGAGCGAGTGAAATGGGGAGACGGGAGGGGCCCGAGGTGGACTTGAATGGGAGGCATCCTCTGTCTGGCAGCTTCATGGGCCCCAGAGCCCTGTCAGCCCTGGTACTCTCCCCCGTCCTTTGCACATGTGTAGTCTCTCAGGACCTCTTCACAGCTGAGCCAGGGACAACTATTATTATTTAGAAATGAGACATCTTTAGAGATGAACTTTGGTGTCATGCATACATGCTTTGCGTATTTTGGGAAATAATTTAAATAATGAGACTCCTTAGAACAGGAGTCTGCACAACTGTGTATTCACACAGGTAACATCGAGAAAGTGGCAGAGCTGGGACGGAAACGGGAGGCTCGCTTCTGTGTGATTGATCCCCCTCCTCGCAGGGCTGACAGAGCCGGAGGAGGTGGGGCTAGGAGGTTGGGGCGGGGCTGGGGTTAGGGGCGGGGCTAGGGAGTGTGAGTGAGAATCAGAGCCTTCTGCCCTCGCTTACCTCACAATCCAGGCGGGGGATAGAACCCCCAGTAAAGCCGGGGTGCCACTGTGGGAAGTAGTATCGAGTCCCAGATGGGGGCCTGGTTTGGGCCTGACCCCTGCTTTCATCCCATCAGGAGCCAGGCCCTCAAGGGGACCACCGTCCCAGACAAGCGACAGCAGACAGGACAGAGCCCCCGCAGGCCGAGGAGAGCCACGTGCGCCCGCCCCCCGCCCCCACCCAGTCTGCTTCCGCCTCGGGGCAGCCCCTGACCTGGCTGTGCTCTCTCCCCACCAGGGTGCTGCGTGGAGCTGCTGCTGCTGCTGCTGGCTGGGGAGCTGCCCCTGGGCGGCGGCTGCCCGCGGGACTGCGTGTGCTACCCGGCGCCCATGACGGTCAGCTGCCAGGCGCACAACTTTGCCGCCATCCCCGAGGGCATTCCGGAGGACAGCGAGCGCATCTTCCTGCAGAACAACCGCATCACCCTCCTCCAGCAGGGCCACTTCAGCCCCGCTATGGTCACCCTGTGGATCTACTCCAACAACATCACCTTCATCGACCCCAATACCTTCGAGGGCTTCGTGCACTTGGAGGAGCTGGACCTCGGCGACAACCGGCAGCTGCGGACGCTGGCACCGGAGACCTTCCAGGGCCTGGTGAAGCTCCACGCCCTCTACCTCTATAAGTGTGGGCTCAGCGCCCTGCCCGCGGGCATCTTCGCCGGTCTGCACAGTCTGCAGTACCTCTACTTGCAGGACAACCGCATTGAGTACCTGCAGGACGACATCTTTGTGGACCTGGTCAACCTCAGCCACCTGTTTCTCCATGGCAACAAGCTGTGGAGCCTGGGCCAGGACACCTTCCGGGGGCTGGTGAATCTGGACCGGCTGCTGCTACACGAGAACCAGCTGCAGTGGGTCCACCACAAGGCTTTCCACGACCTCCGCCGGCTCACCACCCTCTTTCTCTTCAACAACAGCCTCTCCGAGCTGCCCGGCGACTGCCTGGCACCCCTGGGCGCCCTGGAGTTCCTCCGCCTCAATGGGAACGCCTGGGACTGCGGCTGCCGCGCTCGCTCCCTGTGGGAATGGCTTCGGAGATTCCGCGGCTCCAGCTCCGCTGTCCCTTGCACGTCCCCCGAGCAGCGGCAGGGCCAGGACCTGAAGCTGCTGAGTGCCGAGGACTTCCGGAACTGCACCGGGCCAGCGTCCCCGCACCAGATCAAGTCACACACGCTCACCACCACCGACAGGGCTGCCCGGAAGGAACATCACCCAGCCCGTGGCCCCGCCAGGGACAAGGGCCACCCACACGGCCATCTGCCCGGCTCCCGGACGGGCTCTAGGAAGCCAGGCAAGAACTGCACCAGCCACAGGAATCGCAACCAGGTCACCAAGGTGGGCGCTGGGAAGCAGGCGCAGGAGCTGCAGGACTATGCCCCTGACTACCAGCACAAGTTCAGCTTCGACATCATGCCCACCGTGCGGCCCAAGAGGAAGGGCAAGTGTGCCCGCAGGACCCCCATCCGTGCCCCCAGCGGGGTGCAGCAGGCCTCCTCCAGCAGTCCTCTGGGGGCCCCCATCCTGGCCTGGATACTGGGGCTGGCAGTCACTCTCGGCTGAGGACCCAGGGCACCAGCACCCAGCACTGCCACACGTCCACCAAGAAACAGAATTTCTTTCCCTTTTTTACAAGTGGAGGATCTGCTGGGTTTCAGACAGAGTCTGGTAAAGGCTTCGGCGGCCGTTTGGGCCCTGCCCGATGGATTATAAACCCAAAGTGTACAGCCCCAAGCGAGGGGATTAGCACGCCTCACCCGCCTATCCCGGCTGGCCCCCGCCGAGCAGCCGCGGACGGCAGCCACCCAGCAAGGCGGTTACAGTGCTCCAGAAGAATCCTTCATTAGCAACAATGGCACGGCGCCCCCCAGGAGCCGAGCTCTGTGGGATCCTGGTTACACGGAGAGGTCGGAAGGGCCCTCACCATTCTTGGAGGAAGCAGGACTCAGGAACAGCTGATGCTCACCCAAGAGGCTGTGTTGACCGTCTGTCTGGGAGCACATGAGCAGGTGGCATTTTGGCTTTTGCCTGAAGCCACGTGGTCAACCTGCCCTGAATCCAACAGTGTGCCACCTTTGGTCCTTTCCCTGGGGTCACACCTCTCATTGCTGATGTCTCAGGCAGCCCTGGCGCACCCAGCCCAGACCCTGGGCTCCAAGAACCAATTACCAAAGGAAAGATCATCAGAGGCTGAAATTCAGAACTTCATCAGGTGCAATGAGGTTCTCACAGGAGGTGCAATTTTATAACTATGTCCACTTATATATATACACACACTCTACATATATATATACACACAAAGGCACAGGTCCCCTGCCCCACTCCCCTACCAAACTGTATGTCTTATCATGTTTATAAACTATATGGAACACTATTATCTGCTGAACTAACGATTGTATTGGTGATTTCTAGCAAGAAAAGAGTGATAGGATTTTTGTCTAGAATCCCAACCTGCAATGACAGTCCCTATGTAACCAGGGCTTGCCAGGGGCACGGGCACATGGTCAGTAGGGAGGCAGCAAAGGGTCAGAGAGAAGGGGAGGCAGCAAGGGTCACTTCAGGGGACCAATATTCTTAGATATTTAGAGCATCACCTTGTTTTTATATGCAACACAAGCCCGTCTGCTGCCCCAGAACACAATCATCCCCACTACAGTAACTGCTGGCACCTGGGTGAGAAGCGAGGAGCAGCTTGGTGGACATCAGGGAGCCAGGTATGGGGTCAGGCTGGACAGAGAAGGGGAAGGAAGGAGCTTTGGGTCTCTTAGGCCGTTGGGTGAAGCAGCCTTCACAGTGTTAGTTCAACAAGCTGGGCAGTGTCGTCAGCCTAGCGTTTTGCCAGCGATGGCCTAGACAGGCCCGGACACTGGGCCTGAGCCCAGGCCTCCAGCACAGCTCAGCTGCTGAATTATTCCTTGGGGCTCTTTGACGAGCACCCCAGCGTGGGCCCAGGGTAGCGTGGTAGGACGGAAAGCATCGGGTGGACCTTAGCAGAGGGATACAGGGAGGGCGTTTCAAGAACCGTCTTGGGCACTTCTGCATTGTGGAGGCCCTGCCCCTACTGGCCCTTCTGAAGATGCCCAGGGATGGGTAGAGGTCAAGGGGCCAGACTCAGGAGGGGGGACGTGCAGGGAATAAAACAGGCCCAGACAGGGCACCGGGCTCCGGTCCAGGTCGGCCATGCTGCTAGCTGGGGCCCCAGTGGGCACAGTCTCCTTTGCGCTTTGCACAAATCTGAATCCCCCCCCAGAGAGGATGTATATGAGGAGCAAGAAACACTGAATCCAATTAAGAGAGAAAAATAATAATTAAAAAAATTTCTCTTGGACAAGAATCCCGTTTCTCATTTCCTAACCCCGCATTCCCAAGCTTTTGTGGGGTGGGCGAGCCTGCCTGGGCACAGCTCTGAGAACACAGCATGTTTGTTGGCGGGAGGAGCTGTTTGGGGCAGGGGCACGCTGACTCACCGCGATGCGCGTGCACGCGCACACAGACACACACACTTGTTCTTCGTTCCATGGTGGTTTTCTCGCCCGCACAGAACATGACTCACTTCCCACACTCTGGCTGTGCTGGGTCGGCACCATCTCTATGGCTCCCCCCGGAGCAGGCTAGCTGGATCCTTCCTGGCCTACTCCCAAGGGCCTCGCCAACAGCAGCCGAGTTAGTGATTCTTAGGGGGCTCAGAGGTGGCTGGAAAGAAACTGCCAGTTCCTGGGGCCAGAGGGGTTTCCAGGAGTCCAGGGACCGACCCAGATAGCAGTGGACTGGGTCTGGAGGTTGCACCTGCCCCTCTGGCCTCGGAGAAAGGAGAGAGCTCCCAGATAGAGGGAGGAGGCTGTGTTTTCAGGTCTGGACAAATCCCCTTCTACACAAGGCTTCAAACGGGCACTAAAGGGAGTCCAGGGAGGGCAGAACAAATTGTCTTTGGCCTGCAGTTGCTCCCTGATGGCCCGCCTTCTCTTACCGAAGCCAGTGCCAAAGCCTGGCCGTTCCTTAGAACCCGAGGATGTTGCTGATTTCATTTCCAACTTTAGAGAGCAAAACCCTCAGTGGGAAAATCAAGAGCCCAAGCACTTTATTAAATTTTTTTTTAAAAACTCAGTAAGTCCCTATAATATGGAAGTAAAATGTCAGAACGAGAAATGCTAATGTTCTATAAATGATCCTCTTCTGTCAGGCACAGTGCAGTCTCTGGTTGCCGACGGTTATTAGAGGCAAGGCAGAGGGGCCCAGGACACCAGGGGTATTTTTAGAAGCTTCTCTAACAGGTAGAGGGAATAAAAGCCACTCTACTGTGGATGACATCACTTGTCACTCAGCAGGTCACATGCTACCCAGTTATGACACCACTGCCAGTAACGTCAGAGCAAGGGGACAGTCAGGGGCTAAGGGGAGGCTCTTGTGTTCACCAGACCCAGTGTCCCTTCCGGGTGGGTCAGGGCAGGGAGGTGTGGGGTCCTGCCCCTGGAATCCTATTCTCCTCCCAGGGGCTGGGACCATTCCTTTGTTCCTGGTGGGGCCAGCCCTTCTGCCATCTTCGCTCAGCACTTGCCCTGGGTCTCAGGAGGAAGCCATCTCCTTCCTCTCTCCCCTCCAGCCACACAGCCCTACTCTGAGGGGTGACCCGCAGGAGGGTCTGGGTGGCCGCTGGTGGTCTGAGTCTCTCTCCAGACGAGCTCCTCCCATGACCCCAGAGCTCTGCTGGCTCCCTACCCTTCATTCAACAAGTACAGATCAAGGACCTATGTATGCCAGCCATTGGTCCAGACCCTGGGGACATAAAAATAAGAAGACGTAACTCTCCTTCAGGGATCTCAGAATCTAAATGTGAAAACAAATATGGGATGGAAGAAACCAATGTGGGATTATTGCCTTTTTTAGTGCCCACTCTACTCTGTCCCCCACCCCCGGCAATGAGAAACTCACTTGGGGTGGAGGCAGTCAGGGAGGGCTTCCAGGAGGAGGTGACACTCCATGGCTCTCAGAGGAGTAGGTGGCCAGAGGAGAGTGTGGGGCAAAGGGCAGGAGGCATGCAATAGCACCACGTTTGGGGTATCGGCGAAGAGCTGTGAGCTGAGGACTGGAAATGCTGTTTGGGGAGGTGCAGGAGGTGGGTCTGGCAAGGGAAAGGCCTGGGTTGCCTGCTGAGGGACATGGCCTCTACTCTGGAAGTGAAAGTGTGTCCTCCTACTTGGAGTCCTCTTCTCTGCCCCACATCCCCATTCCCTCTCCAAGCACATGGTCCCCACCAATGTCATGCTTGCCAGTGTTCTTCAACAGTGGGTTTCATCATCGCAACTTGCCTCTTCTGCTCAGCCAGATCCCTTCCTTGTGCCAGCAAGCAGATTTTCACTGGAAATCTGCCTGGGCCAGAGTCCCATTCCCAGACACCTGCTGCTTCCAAGCTCAGAAAGTATCCCATTGCCATCTTGTCTCCCGCGCTCCCTCCTTTCCCATCCACCGAGAGCTCAGTCCTCAGCCCCTCTCCTTGCTCCAAGTGCGGCTGTCCGGACGCCACCCTCTTGGCTGCCTTTAATGTGCACGCACTGGCTGACTATCAGCGATCCCCGAACCTCCCAACCTGCACCCCCTCCTTTTTTCTCTCCTACTAGGGCTGTTCATTACCAGGGAGCCAAGAAGCCAATTTAGCAAATGTTTGCTCATCACCTAACTAATCACCCAGCACTCTACCACTGTGGCAAATGGTGTTCCAGAAGGCCTGTTGGCAGGTTTGAGGGGGCAGGGGGGCAGGAAGGCTCCTTGGAGGATGAGCTGTGGGCCCTGCATCGGAAAGAACACATTTGCTGGGAAGGCTTTCTGGAGCTGGCTGGGAGCCTCAGGACCTCAGGAGCTCCCAGTAGATCCTTCCTGGTGTTGTTAGCAACACCCCAGCCCTGGCTGGTGTGACTCAGTGGATTGAGCGCCAGCCTGCGAACCAAAGGGTCGCCAGTTTGATTCCCAGTGTAGGGCACATGCCTGGGTTGCAGGCCAGGTCCCCAGTAGGGGACGCGCGAGATGCAATCACACCTTGATGTTTTTCTCCCTCTCTTTCTCCCGCCCTTCCTTTCTCTAAAAATAAATAAATAAATAAAATCCTTTAAAAAAAAAAAAAAGCTGGTTATCATGAAGAAATAATGAAGGAACTTTATTAAAAAAAAATCCCAGACTGTCCCCATCATTGGGATTCAGCACCAAAGAGCCCTACTCAACATAGACCTAGAGGACACCAGCCTTTCTCTGTGCACATTCTTTGATTGACATAGAGCAAGCATATGGGGTCCTGGCCAGGACCTCTGTTAAGCCTCCGGACCTGGCTGTGATCACTTTCTGGTTCATTCCCTCCCAGCCTGGCTCTCTGGCCTCGCCTTTCTCTAGGTAGGAGTTCAGCCCATCAGCCATCACTCCATTCCCCTGTCACAAATATCCCATTCTCAGCTCGTAATGGGCCAATTTTCTTTTACTTTCTGTCTACTCAGAAAATACCTCAAGAACCTTTGATTGTGCGTTAAACCATCCTTTACAATTCTATGCTCGATATCTCTTTCTTCTTCTCAAATTGTCCCTTTTAACTCATTGCGATTTTTGTATAAATCTCCTGGTCTCCCCTTTGCAGGCTGTTAATAAATACAAGCTCTAAAAAAATAGACATAAACATCTATTGTTGGCTAAATAACCCAGCACAATCAAAAGCTTGGGAAAAAAGGGAAGCTTGGAGCAATGCACGCCCACCTGCTCTCTCTCAACTCAGGCTGCTCCTGCTTGTCTTTTGGAAGAGGGCTGCTGGACTCGGGGTAGTTATGGCTCTAGAAAGGCCACTGGGTGAAGGGACCAAGGATGCCCCAGGGAAGGAAGATAAGAAAAGAAAGCAGCTCTAGTGCCATGTTGACAGGTTTCCTCCAAGAACAACAAGGGAGGAGTGAGGACAGAGAGGACCCCTGTGCAGGAAGCAGTGGCTAATTTAAGTGACATTTCAGTAGGCTGGTCCACAAGGCCCCTTACCTCCAAAAGAAATGGGTCAACCTCCTCCGAGATCTGACACCAGCCAGCACTGATGTGGCCTGTCCCCCCTTCAATCCCCATCTCTCTCCTTTCAGCTCTCATTTCTCATTAGAGCTGTTAGTTCCTAAGCACCAGGAGGGTGGGGAAGGCTGTGCCTTTTGTCCCTGATTTCTGTGTGGCAGCGTGCACACTAATGGCATGCCTGAACGGCGGAATTTGACACTGCTGCTGCGAAATGTGCTTGGGTCACGGTGTTTTCCAAATTGGCTGAGGCTCCACGCCACCCCCTCCTCCTTCACCCAGGCATCTGGAGAGGGAGGGACGGGTGGTGCCAGCAACAGTTTCTGCTGCTCCTGCTCCTGCTCAGGGCCTTCGAAAAGAGAAAGGAAGTGAGAGATGTATTAAACTCTTCAATCTCTGTAAGTATCATTTCCCAGGGGACAGACTCTAAGGAAGAAGGAAACTCAAGTGCTGGGGACCTAAACAGGTGGGAGGCCTCGGAAGCGACCAGCTCCCTATCCTCCCACCCCAGCCCCACCACACACACAGCTCCAGGGACCAGCAGGGGCAAGACATGGTGCCCTCGGGATGGCAGCTGACTGGAGACTCAGCAATCCAGGTGGCTGCTCACTGCTCCAGCCAGAAAGTGATGCAAGATATAATCAACAACGGAGCCTTTCTCAGCGATGAGGGGCCAGGGAGAGAAACCCACAGAGGGAGAGCTGCAGGGGGCAAGGTCAAGATGGACAGGATGGGCGAAGCAGGGGGGAGTCCGAGCGAGGCACTGAAGAAGGCACAAGGTCGCCTGGCGAGAGAAAGCACATCGCTAAAGGGGCAACCGTGTAGCCAGAGTCAGAGGCAGGGGAAGATGCAGACAGACAGACAGGAGGGCACAACAAAGAGAGAGAGCCATTTTGCACACATGCACACACCCATTACTCAGGCACTATGTCCTGTCTCTGTCCCTCGTGCAGCTGAGTGTGGGACAGTCACGTAGTTCACGGATGCAATCGCCCACCACGTGCATGGCCCCAGCCAGGCCCTGCAATGCCCTGGTAAAGAGCGCTTGTCTGCCAGCAGCTTCCCTTCCAGCCAAGATCAGCCCCTTTATCTGATTACAAGGTGGGGGTGGTGAGGAGAGGGACAGAGGGTCTGTCACCTGGATACTCACATGAGAGTAAAGGGGGGGGCAAGTCCCGCCCTCCCCACATGCTGATGACCACCCATCAGGGACACCTGTGCGGGATGAGGGGCGGATTCTTGT